ATCTCCGGTACCAAAATCCGCCCCAAAAAACAAAAAACAAAAAACAAAAAAAAAAAAAGAAGAAGAAGAAGAAAGGGTTGGGATGCAGCTCAGTGAAAAGGCCCTGGGTTCAGGCCCCAGAACCAAAACCAAAATCAAAATCAAAACAAAAACAAAATAAAATAAGACAGAAGTGATAGTTGCACAATATTGCCCTGAGTTTCTACTTTGAAATGGTTAGTTTTGGGCTTGGTTGTGGCTCAGAGGTAGAGCACTTGCCTACATGTGGGAGGCCCTGTGTTCAGTCCCTTTTATGGAGAAATAGGAAAGGTTAGTTTTATGTTATGTGGATTATTTGTCTTCAACTAAAGAAAGGCAATGGTAGTTCTTCCTATGGGCAATGTTTTTCTTCACATTACTGGGGATATGGAACCCAGACCCTTGTATAGGAGGTAAGCACTCTATAACTAAGACACACCCACGGCACTTTTTAAAAATTTGAGATAGGGTCTCACCAAACTGCCCAGGCTGGTCTTGAACTTGTGACCCTCCTGCCTCAGTTTCCCAAGCAACTGGGATTACAGGCATGTACCACTGTGCCTGACTCCACATGCAATTGCTTACCAAAGATATATAAAGTTAGAACTTGGCCATCTCTTTCCCTTTTTCTTACCTGTTAGTGTAGAGTTTGAGCTGAGAATTCAGAGGCATTAGAATCTTCTCAGGCTGGCACTCTGAATTGAAAAGTTGGAGTTTTTCAAACACCTATAACGAGAAAATAATGTTTTCCTCCTTTTTGGAAGATAAAAATTATGACCTTTACTCACATATGGACTTTAACAAAATCTCAAAGGTATTACGTGCTAAATAAACGATAACTGCACATCAGCAGTCTGTTTAACTTATAACTAGTCTAAAATCTTCCATCATACTCCTTTCCAAAATGAGCCAGGAACTTGACATATGAAGGAACTGTATTCTAGAATATATAAATAACATCATCTGTGCCTCTTTTTTTTTTTTTTCCCCCTGCTTCTAAATGAAAGACTGGGCATGTGGCAGAGTTTATACTTATTATATCATCTTACTACTCGGATATAAAATAACTTTGAAATTTGTAATTTTGGTTCTAGTAACCTGAAGTGAGATTTGGGAACAGAAACCTATAATATTAAATCAGCGTGGGACACCATCTAGTTATTCTACTTCCTAGTAAAGTGTTCTTTCCTCTTCCTTACACTGAATTGCAGAACAAAAGCCAAAATAAAAGGAGTGAAATCAGCCCAAATTTAGAGGCAGAGAAACTGACTTCCCCCACAGAAATGGTAATTTATTGCCAAGTGTTGGGGTGCACACTTGTAATTCCGGCACTTGGGAGGTGGAGGCAGGAGGATTACCAGGACTTTGAGGCCAGTCTGGGCTATATAGTGAGTTCAAAGCCAGCCTGAACTACATAGTGAGACCCTGCCTCAAAAACAATCAAACCAACCAAACAACTAACCAACCAATGAACGGGAGTAATTTAGTACTTTGTTTTGTTTTGTTTTTGGTACCGGGGATTGAACTCAAGACCTTGTGGTTGGGAGGCAGGTGAGGTGCCACTGAGCTAAATCCCCAAGGCCTTTTGTTTTGTTCTTTTGAGACAGGGTCTCACTATGTAGCCCAGGCTGGCCTCAAACTGGTGGCGATCGACCTGCCTCAGCCTCCTGAGTCCTAGGATTACAGGTGTGCACCACCATGCCCGGCAGTAATCTAGTCCTTTTAAATGAGATCATAAGTAGAAACTATTTGTACTCTTACACCTTCCCAGAAGTTAGGATGTATTTCACACTAAATGAATGTACTGTAATGTCTCTGTTGGATGGGGCGGCTTGGACGTGAGTCTGTGTGGTGTGGGAGTGAGGGGTGCCTGTGCCAAAGTCCTGGAGTTCACACTCACAGGAGCCAGCCGGAAGGGCGGCCTCAGAGCTGCAGACCTGTCCTGTCCCAGGGACCCTCGCAACACCTCTTTCCAGTCCAAGCTCCTCCTAGGTGGTGAGAGGTCGTAACTTTCTCTCCTTGACACCCAGAAGGAAGACAGGTTGAAGCTTACCAGGATCTGAATTTCATCAGACAGTTCCAACACGCTCCCCTCAAACTGCCCGGAGGAGCTGTCCACACAGCGGATGGTGACTCTGATGCTGGTCCTGCCAGGCGCTTTTGTGTGAACAACCATGGCAAAGTTATTCTCTTCTGGAAGCTGCAGGGAAACCTAGACAGTGCAGGGGTAGATTGAGAAACAGCCACGGATAAGAACCATATCCTTCCTTCTCACAAAAAGGAATGTATGTTGGAAACAGCTATCCAGCAGAACAAGCGCACTAGAGTACTCAAGAGCTTGTTTGCACAGTATTTTCTTCTTATTCCCGCCAGTATGGTCACCACAAAAGTGAACCCCCCAAGCCAGGCATGGTGGCACACATCTGTAATCCCAGCACTCAGGAGGCTGAAGCAGGAGGTCTGCTGTGCGTTTGAGGCCAGCCTGGGCTACATAGTGAGACCCTGTCTAAAAAAAGAAAAAAAAAAGGTAAACCCTTGCTGGCAATGTCCAGTTAATTGTGGGAAACTTCTAGGATTTTTTTTTTTTTTGAGACAGGGTCTCACTGTGTAGTTCAGGTTGGCTCTGAACTCACTATGTAGCCCAGGGTGGCCTCCCGCTCAAAGCAATTCTCCTGCCTCAGCCTCCAGAGTGCCGGGTTTACAGGTGTGTACCACCACACCCAGCTATTTAATTACATGCTGATTTACTTGGCTCTTATTTTAGGCTAAAACTAGCCACCTCCCCTGATGCCTTATGCACTATTGCAGTCTGGACTGGGTAAGGAGGGTTAGAACACACAGACTTCTGGTAGTAAGGAAGAGAGGGCCAACCCTAAGGGAGATGTAGAGTGGAGCTGGCAGTTGTCTGGCTCTTCAGCACTCACTTCGCATCCTATCTCCCCCGGCTTCCTGCTCTCCATTAGCTCTCTTGACTCACAATAGAGTTTCAACCTCCAAAACCACCTTTTCCTCCTCCTCAACAAAAAGTCACTCCCATTTCTTTTGTGCAGACCTCAATCACCCATCTGGAAGAAAGTCTATACTAAAGAATGAGTGGTTTATAACAGTTTAACTCAAGTGACTCTCTAAAACATGCCACTGCCACAGTGCAGAAATCTACCTTGCAGGGCATGACAACCTTTCTATTGCCCATTCCATCACCCAGTTTGCTATGCATATCTGTATCGGAGGCAGAAAAGAGAGCATTCCTCTGGGTCTCAATTATTTCTTTTGCTAAGGAAGAGTGTTGCTTTAGCCAGGTGTGGTGACACACACCTGTCATCCCAGGATTTGGGAGGCTGAGGTAGAAAGATCTCAGCGTGTTCAAGGCCAGCCTGAACTGCATAGTGAGACCCTGTCTCATTAGAAAAAAAAAAAAAGAGTGATGCTTTAGATAAGAAAATGAAAGGGCTGGGGATTTAGCTCAGTGGCACCCAGCCTGCCTCTCAAGCACAAGGTCCTGAGTTTGATCCCTGGTACAAAAAAGAAAAAAAGAAAGAAATGGAGAAATAGAACAGAGGATAAAGCTATTCCCTACTTCCACAAAACCCCTATTTGTTACTTAAGAGGAAAAGCCAAATCCCCATGTTGAATTACCCCCAACTAAGTACAGTTCCATCTTTCTTCCATTTCAGGTATAACCAGGCCCAGGGAAATCCCTGACAGATGGGAGATCCGGCCAGCAGTCCGCTTCACTTATAAATTTAGGATACATTAAGAAAGATAAAATAGATGTTTTTACTTTTTCCAGATTTGTCTCTTCAGCTGGCTGCCTAAACATTCTCCTAGTTCTAGTTCCTGTGGCCTCTCTTTTTCTCCTGAGTCCAGCTTTGGTTCTTATTCTTCGTTGTTGTTTTTTTGGTATTGGGTATTTGGTATTGGTTTTTTTGGTATTAAATCCCAAGCCCCTGAGGTATAGAATTTAAGTACATATTTGAGGATGTTGAGGCACATGTTCAGTCATAGCCACAGCCATGCTAGCCATGCAGGACAGGCACAGCTGTTGGCAGCGAGGGGGCTCAGGGCCTGTGGCACAGGTTAGCTCCCGGGCTGCCCTCCTGGGAATGGAGAAGGCACTGCTGGGGAGCTGACTCTGGACAGGGTCCCTCAAATCAGTGGCAGATTTAAGAAGGACGATGAATTAAGCTGCCCTCCATGGGTCCCTTCGGTATCTGGTGGTCCTCACTGCCCCCATTTAGCACCTGCTGTCTGGTCCATGGAGGCTCTTGGATGGACTTGGAGAGAATCCACAATGTGACTTAGGATATTATGGTTTTGTTTTTTGTTTGTTTGTTTGTTTTTTGCAGTACTGGGGATCAAACTCAGGACCTTGTGCTTGCCAGCCAAGCACAGCACCACTGAACTACATCCCCATCCCAGGATATTATGTTTTTAAAAATAGGTTTGATGTTTTTTGCACAAAACATCAAACCACAAAAAAATAGGGCCAGAGATTTAGCTCAGTGGTTCTGGCGCCTGGCTCGCAAGCACAAGGTCCCAAGTTCGATCCCCAGTACCAAAAAATTAATTAATTAATTAAATAGAACCTGGTGTGGTGGTGCACACCTGTATACCAGCATGTGGGAGGCTGAGGCAGGAGGATTGCCACAATTTCCAGGCCAGCCTGGGCTACATGGTGAGTTCAAGACCAGCCTGAACTACATAGCAAAACCCTGTCTCAAAAAATCAAACAGAAAATAAGTGATGCTTTTCTGTACCAAACAGATAAAATACAAATCAGATTGTTACCCAATGGTCAATTGCTGGAACCCACCAGGGTGGTCTGAGGATGAGGAAGTCACCTGGCTCTGGGCTCTGCCTCAGGAAAACTGTCCAATCCAGAAAGTTGTCACAACTCGGTGTCCACAAGAATAAGAACCAGGGCCAGGGATTTAGCTCAGTGGTTCCAGCGCCTGCCTCGCAAGTGCAAGGTCCCGAGTTTGATCCCTGGTACCAAAAAATAAAAAAATTAAAATTAAAAAAATTCTATACTTCATATGTGTTACCCAGATAGCAGTCATCTGCTCAAAATACAATATCTTAACA